TATCAGCCATGGAGAACCACAGGTGGGTCGAAAGCTGTCCTGGGTAGCAACTTCTATCAAAAGGTTAGATATTGGGTAACAACTCTAATTGTGTGGGCATCTTGTTGATTGCGCATTTCTTTTGTTTGTTTGTTTGTTTTTTGGGGGGGTTGTTTTTTGTTTTTGGTGTTTTGTTTTGAGACAGGGTTCTCTATGTAGCCCTAGCTGGGCTGGAACTCACTCTGTAGACCAGGCTGGCCTTGAACTCAGAAATCTGCTTGCCTCTGCCTCCCAAGTGCTGGGATTAAAGGCATGTGCCACCACCGCCTGGCAGAACATATCTAAATAAATAAATCCTTCAGCTAGATAATCATGAAGCTTTAAGAGTCTCATTTCTACTGTACTTCAAGGACGGCAGATAGTGTCTGGGGTTCAGCAGAGCTTTGTGGATGCAGCGTGGGGGACGGCTCTGCCAATCCCCCATACTGGCATCTCATGGGTGCCAGGGTCTGTGCATCTAGCTAGCCAGAGTCCCAGTCAGAGCCAAGGAGCAGCGAGAACATGGTGGCTGCTTGGGAACAAGCCCGACAGGGTGCTGTTTTCTAAATATCACCCCTACAATCAAGAGTCAGGGAAAGTTGTCGCCTTCCTTCTTTCCTGCCTCCCCATCCCCTGGTGTCTGTTTGCACAACTGGTATCTTTACCACATCCATTTCTTTGCACAGAGGGTACCCCCCCCCCCCGTCCTGAGCTCAGAAAGCCACTCCCCAAACATATCTCAAGAAAAATTGCATGTCCCAGGCCTCCATTCCCTCCCATGACATGGCCCCTCCCTCTTGATCATATTTTCAAGCAAGTTTTTTCTCTGGATTTCCTATCCATGTTGGGAACAAATGACATGCTAATATGTTCAACTGATACCATATGTGGTGGCTTTGGAAGGAGGTGCCAGACCGTGTGAGGGAAGTAATGGGGCAGTGGAAAGTATCCATGGCAATGTCATCCTGTTTAGCAAACACACTTAGGGAGTTGATGCTGAGACAATTGAACATAACACAGGGGTAGACTTACACTGGTACAAGTTCAGAGCCAGGATTTTCCACTGGGCACGGTGAGACAAAAATGGCATTTATATACTTTGTGCCCCAGACATCACCATACCCATGAGGTAGGCTTTCCCAGACCGTGCCTATGTATCCAACTGTCTCATGTCTTCAGGGAGTAGCCACAACTCAGGACAGTATCAAATTTCAATTAGAAAATAGTCTCCATGTCTTTTCCCTGCAGTGTGTTGGAACATGCCTAATTCACCAAATATTTCATCTTTATTATTGTTTCATGTGTGTGTGTGTGTGGGGAGGATTATGTAAGTACTTTAAGACAGAAACATTTATAAGAGAAATGAAGCCTTCTGTGTAAACCAAAAATACTCAGATAATGGGAGCAGTGCTGTGTTGGGAGCCGCCTCTTAGCCGAAAGTGGCTATCATCTTTACAGCCATCTCGAGCCATATACCCTGACAAGAGACTTGTTTTCAACAGCCTGCAATAGCTGAGCGCACTCTGATGAACATCTTGTTACACTGTTTAGTGCCCCCAGCTGCAAAGTGCTCCTGGTATCCATGGCTACAAGGCACGTGACGTAGTGGCTTCAGTTGAGCTTGTCCACGAGGGCAAGTCACATGGTAAAGGGTATAAATACCCAGGATTTCCTTTCTATGTGTGGGAGGGAGGAGGTAGAAGGTAGAAGGTGGAAGGTGGAAGGTGGAAGGTAGAAGTGGGAGGTGTCGGGAGACTGAAGGAGTGAGGAGAATATAGAAGAAGAGAGGAGATTAAAGAAGAGACTTGAAGAGACTCCACCGGCCTCTGTCTTGTATCTATCTTTTGCGTCTCTCGCCCCTTTTTCCCCCTTCCTCCGTCCCCACTCTCTCTCTTGCTAGACCCTGACCTGCGGACCGGAGCAGCAGAACCGGCCGGCCTTTACAAAAGTAACAGAACCTGACGGCGGTTACAAAAGAAACGGCCGTTACAGTGCTGATGAGAAGCTCAGTCCTTGGGCACGTCTCACTGGTGATGTAGCAGTCATACTATCCATCAACCGCCCCCTTCCAGTGCCCAGCATCGTGTATCCTCTGCACCCTGCGGCTCAGAGGAATTACCTGAAGATTATGTCTCTTGACCAAACTTGGCCCAGGAGAAAAGATCAAAAGCAATTGCATGACGCAGTTCTCTGGTGGAAAATGGAAGGGCTGTGTCAGTCCGTCCAGAGTGCTTGAATGAAGCACTATAAACCCAGTTGCTTATAAACAACAGCGATTTATTTCTTGCAGGCTGGACGCTGGGATTTGCAAGATCAAGGGGCTGGCAGATGTGGCGTCTGGTAAGCGACTGGCTGCTCCGGGTTCACAGAGTGGAGCCTTTTCACTATGACCTCACATGAGCCTCTCTTCCCATTCATGAGAGCTCCAGATCTACACTTTAACCACCTACCAAAGGCCCTACTTCTTAACCCTGTCATGCTGGGTGGGAGTGGGCTATACATTCAGACCTCAGCAACCTGCTCTCATGACAGTAAAATCAATACATTTTATTTTCATACACATAAGGAATATCTGAAGAAATTAGAGGGTGACAGATTTCTCTCGAGGACTTGAACCTTGAGTCGCTCCCAAGTTATCCACCTGAGTTTCTGTACTACAAAGCTCTGAGGACATGTCAGGGCTTCTAAGTACAGTGAGTGACCAGTCTGTAGAGATCTGTGTAGTTATGACAACAAACACCATGGTTAACTTTAGACAGCCCATGGTTAGAGGGGGTGCTTTTTCCTGGTCATCTGTGTTAGAACTTCAGTAGAAACATTTCTGTTTGAAATACTATAAAAATGTAAAAGCTGTATATTATCACAGTTCCCTGGAAGCTTGTGATGCAGAGGACTCTCCTCACACCAGAAATGCGGCCATCCCCAGTTCAGCTGGACCACTCACCAAAGGCAGTCACAGCTGAGCTGGTTGATGGTTGATGTTTGTCCTAGAACAAGGCAGGTGAGACCAGGGGACTCTCTCCTGAGAATCCTGCAAACCATTTGCATGTAGTCCTGGCCCTAACTGCTTGTGGCCTCAGGATCTCTGAGATACAGGTGGGGAGGGGTTAGAGGAAGGGACTCTAGCTCCACAGCCATAGGAGAAACATCTTCCATGCTGGGTGCAGGCCTTCTAGTGTGACAGCTTTAAGGGTACTCTGAGGCCAGCGGCTCCTCCCTGTCAGTGAACCTGACCAACTCTGCTTCCTCAGAGTGAACTTGGGCTAGGGGTGCTTTGGTTTGTCCTTGAAACATAGAAGAAAAGTAGACATTGTTTCTATTGCCTGGAGGGAAGAAATTTTAGCGATACCAGGGCTAATACATTGCAGTGTGTCCCCAAGTCTATGGTTTTTCTGTGATTCAAACTGCTTTCTGGTCACCTAGATATCTATTTTGAATGCTACAGTGTGCTAGGGAAAACAACGTGCCTCCCACAGATCACCAAGCAGAGCTCAGAAAGCAAAGTGTGTGACAAGCACTCAGCTGATATTTGAGATCATGGAGACCCCGCGGAGTGCCAGTACCTAGAACCAGAAAAGCGATTTTTTAGTTAAGGACACCTTTGTCTTCTTTTCTGTCCACCAGTCATTCTGCCAGACTGAAAAAGGCTTTTTGAGGTGGTCTCATGTGGAAGGACACTAGTCGGGGAGGCTCCTTGCAGCCAGGAGCAAGACAAGGAAGCATATTTGTCCTTCTCTGTTCCCGCACTCGCACTCAGAGGTGATTTCCAGCCTCTTTCCTGTTAGCTTGCAGTTCAGTCTCCCAGCCCAGGAGGGCGCTCTTACCCACCAGAGCAAAGTGAAACAGCCTCTTCTTTGTGCAGCCAGAAAATCAAATCGAGTCATTATTTGGCTTAGGTTGTCTTCTGATTGGTTTCCCTCCAGACCTCTCGTGTCGGGTCTTCATTTGCCAAGTTACTGAGAGAAGAGTCTCTGGTCTATGGTTCTGCCTTATTCCCCTTGGTCACGTGAAGGGGGTGTATGGGGTGGAGATGAAGGCTGGGAAGCCAGAGGCCACGTGGAGCAGGACATAACTCACTTTATCTCGGCAACACAGGCATTTGTATTGAGAAGGGCATTCTTCCTCCCTAGGAAAGAACATCTGGAACATTCTTCCAAATGAGGATCAAAACAATGACTTCAGATGAAGCAGACTCACTGGAGTAAACACAGCCCAGAGGATCCCGTGAAGCAGGCTTGCCTGAACTCTGCCAGAGAGCAGTCTCTGGGGCTGAGAGTTCAGGCCAGCTCAGAGTTACACCCCCAGTCTCTTGAAAAAGGCTCTGAACCCGTGGGATACTACTGGGAAGGGCCCTAGGGAAGGTCTCAGTTGCCACCCAAGAGCAGAAAGGACCCTATGACAGACAAGGCACCTACAGCCTTCTGCCCCAGGACCTTATTCCCTTCTCTCAGAATGCCTGCGTATTTGGCCGTCTGCCTTGCCCTGGACCAGAAATAAAGTAATCACATTTGTTGATTAAAAATCAGCCTATCTGCAATATAAATATTCCTTTCACGTAGCTACGTTGCTCTGTCTATGGAGCATGTAGTCTGCCGTGTGTCACTTTTCCATCCCAGGGCAGTTCTAACAGAGTCCCAGCTACTCGACAACATCACCTCCGGATTTCTCTGTGATTTATGTGGCCATGTGGCCAACTCCATGTACAAATGCAGATTCTGAGCGAATTCTCATCCCGGATACAAGTGAAAGTTAGGCAGCTAACTCCGTCAACAGTTTGTTTTATGTCTTCGGACAGCACACTGTCAACCAGATGTCCATATATCCAGGTTTGTTATTTCGGTCAGTGGCACGTGATGGCTTCAGCTGAATATGCTTCAGTAATTAATTCTGAATAGAGTATTCTGCATTAAGTCATGTCATGGCTGCTGTGGGCAAGAAAGAAGCAACAGGGTCTATTACTTCCGCCTGGCATCTGGGCACTCTTAGTTACAACAAATCCAAGCAACCAGTGCTCACACAGCTATGGATGCACACACACACACACACACACACAAAAATCATTTATATATATATATACACACACACACACAAATCATTTATATATATATACACACACACAAATCATTTATATATATATATACACACACACACACACTCACATACATACATACACATGGACATATACACAAACTTACACTCATACATATTTACATGCACACACACACATATATACATACATACATAAACATATTAAAACATGTATGCAACTCACACATACTTATACACACACATATATTTTACACATCCATGCACACGCACAAAGACTCATACACATAAATACTTTATACACACAGTACATACACACACATATTTATTTTTTGGTGGAAACATTAGTCTCAAACATAAAAATTGTGCTAAAAAAATAAGAAAAGTGGCTTTCTGTTCCCTCTGGCTGCATCCCTACCCCCACCCCTCATTCACTAGGATCTCGATAGAGATGTTACCTAGGAAAGGGAACAGGCAAGTACCTATTGGCACTCTCATTAATACTGAATCAGATCTGCTGGTACCTCTGCCCTCCATACACACTACTGCACAAATGAGCACGCACATACCAGGGCTTGAAAAGGGAGTTTGCTCTTTGTCTTCAGCCAAGTGAAGACAGTGTTCCTTCAGAGGACACAGCAACCATAGCACCATCTTGGAAACAGAAAGTAGCCCCGCCCCACGTCTGCCCCATAGCTGCCTTGACCTGGGCTCCCAGCCATAAGGAATTCTGTCATGTATCAAATCACTCACACTACATAGTATGTTATTAGAGAGGAACATAAGACCAAGACAAGACATTTGATATTAGTTCTGTACTGACTCAAAAATACTAAAATTATTTTATTTTAAAGCAATGGAGGTTCTTTGAAGAATTTCAATCAGGGAACTAAAGAGAAAGGAGTTGAAATTAAGACCCATACAGGAGCCAGGTATGGCAGCCAGAGCTCAATCCCCGTGCTCCAGGTGTGGTGGCCAGAGCTACAATCCCCATGCTCCAGGTGTGGTGGCCAGAGCTACAATCCCCGTGCTCCAGGTGTGGTGGCCAGAGCTCAATCCCCGTGCTCCAGGTGTGGTGGCCAGAGCTATAATCACCGTGCTCCAGGTGTGGCGGCCAGAGCTATAATCCCCGTGCTCCAGGTGTGGTGGCCAGAGCTACAATCCCCGTGCTCTGGAGGCAGAAGCAGGAGGATCTCAAGATCCGAAGAATGAAGCAGAGGAAAGGAGGAGGAGGGAAAGAGAAGAAATGAAAGGAGGGAAAATAGAGAAGGAAAGAAAATAGGGAAGGAACTTTTAGATTTGCATGGAGTTTGTGAATGGAGGTTCAGACCCAGGCTCAGCTGGCCCCTCGACAGCCCTTTCTATTGGGAAGAACTAAATTCTTTTGAGCCTCAGGTTTGTCAATAAAAATGAAGACACCGCTGTTCTCTAGTGTCCTCGTAGTCATGGGGATTTCCATGTAAATGGTTCCGATCTTACATGTGTAATGAGTCAGTTCCCTTCTCCATGAGTGGGCTTCCTGGATGCAGTTGCGGAGGCTAGGAAGCAGGAAGGTTGAGGGGTTCAGCATCTTCCTGGAGAGAGATGGGTGAGCCTTGACTTAAAAAGAGGGTGCTGTAGGTTATGGAGTGAGGCAGTGAGCAGGGCTGGGGACTATCAGTGGACAGCACTGCCATTAAGGTTGGGGAATTCGGGGGAGAGAGGGCATCTGGGGTTGGTTCAGTGCAGAGGTCAGATGGCAGCTACCTGAGGGGTCAGTGGTGTCTCTGTAGTGCTCTCCTGATGGCCTTTCCTTGCTGACACTCTCTCTGCTCTAAGTCTGATATTGGTGATTCGATGCACCCTTCAACAGCGGCCAACTGAGTCTCCTATGCGCCTCCCCAGCCCTGCCAGTCGCAGATAACCTTGAGCCTCAGCTTTTCAGACACTCTTTTCCTTTCTAACGATCTACTTGGCTCTTGCCTGTGCCCACTCAGGGGTGCAGGCTGTTCATGGGTCCCCTTGCCCTCTGCACTAGAGAGGATCAGTCCTCAGGCAGCTAAAGGGGGGCATTCGAGACATCCTGTACCTTGCAGGGCAGTAGTGACACACGCCTTTAATCCCAGCACTTGGGAGGCAGAGGCAGGCGGATTTCTGAGTTCGAGGCCAGCCTGGTCTACAGAGTGAGTTCCAGGACAGCCAGGGCTACACAGAGAAGTCTTGAAAAACCGGAAAAAAAAAAAAAAGACATTCTGTATCTGGAATATGAAGGATGTGGTCAGTAAGAGGCTCAGAGCTGATGTCCCCACAAAAGAAGGTTGGTGCAGGACTCTGAACAGGGCAGGGAGGGGTAGGGGTGCGTGGTGAAGCGGTACTTCCATTTCTGAGCAACATCTGTCATTGACACCTAAGATGTCTTGAACATTGCAAAGAATAGAGAAAAGACAGACAGACCACAGTGCTTACTTACATAGCACAGTGCTTACATAGCATGTTTTCCTGGGGATCTCAGCCACCCAGCTCCCCCCGGGCACAGCCGGGAAACACAAAGGCAGGCGTTGCAGATCCTGCTAGGGCCATGCACTGATTTGGTAACCATGTAGAGCAAATCACCTTAAACTTAGCCCATGAACAACCCGGCATGCTTTCTCTATAATAACCTCAGTGTTAGGAGTTGTGCTCAGAGACTGGCTTCTCGGGAAGGGTCCTGCCAGGCTAAAATCGTGGTGTCTGCTGTGACTGACCTCACTGGAGCCCTGGCTCCTTCAGAGTTTCTTGGATTTTTGTCAGAATCCAGCTAGTGCAGGTGTGTGACTGAGACCTCTTCTGCCCTGCCCCCATCCAAGCCCTTCGGTACTCTCCACGACAAGTTCATAACACAGAGGCCAGCAGGAGACAGATTGCCCAGCTCTCGTTACATCTGCAACGTTTTCCTGCTTTGTAAGGAACCGAGGCATGGCATGGCATCCCCGTCTTTACAGGTCCTACTTAGTGCTCAAGAGAAGGGCAGTGCATGGATAGAGACTTCTGGTCCCTCCTGGAATTCTGCGGACATGGTTTTTCCTTTGATTCCATTTCTGCACTCGAAAGAGAGCAGCTTGGGGCTGGAGAGATGGCTCAGTGGTGAAGAGCACTGGCTGATCTTCCAAAGGTCCTGAGTTCAACTCCTAACAAGCGCGTGGTGGCTCGCAACCAGCCAAAACTGTACTCCCACAGAACGTCATGCTCTCTTCTGGTGTGTAGACACACACAGACAGAAAACCCATATACATCACGAAATTAATAAATAAATCTTTTTTATAAAGGAAAGGAAAGAGAGGGGCTTGGGGCTGGCTGTTCTCCGCTTCTGCTCTGCAATCCCACTTTGATTGTCTGTCCGTCTTCATTTTGTGGTTGTAGACTTGGGGTGTAAATATTATGACCAGTCATCTCAACCAAACTCCATCCTGACAATCATGGACAGAAGAGACTGGACATCATGGAGAAGAGGCGTGCTGAGGGGAGGAAGAGGCAGGAGACAGCAGGCAGGGGACAGCAGGCAGGGGAAAGCAGGCAGGGACAGCAGGCAGGGACAGCGGGCAGGGAGCAGCAGGCAGGGACAGCAGGTAGGGGACAGCAGGCAGGGGACAGCAGGCGGGGGACAGCAGGCAGGGGACAGCAGGCAAGGGACAGCAGGCAAGAGCAGCAGGCAGGGGACAGCAGGCGGTGGACAGCAGGCGGGGGACAGCAGGC